TATAACTTTATAATTAGACCCCCTCGTAGAATGCTCCGTCCAGGTATTCATATGTTGGTGGTTCACGAGGGGAATTCACAAAAAGATATTCGGAGTCTGCGAGGGAATTCGATATAGAGCATAAGCTGATCGCGAGAGGCCATGAATTTCCCGTTAGAACCGAAATCGAGTTCTATCGGCGACGACGTTTTCTAGGTCACGCGTAAAATATTCTAATGGGTCACCGTGTGTATACGAAAGACACACTTTCCTTCAGCGATATATGCTCCAGTCGTTGTCCAGCTTGTTCGAGCTAAGTGGTAAGTTTTGAAATATGGCCGACCGCCTGCAACACGGGTAAAATACATTGCGCAATACGCACGTGTGCGGTTTCCATTCGATGCGTTCGTGTGGCCGATCAGAACGCATCACGCATAGAAAAAACGCAAATTCAATATCTATTTCGTGACGAACTCACACTGGAAATCGAAGTAAAGAGAAAAGACTCAACGTCTCACTTAGTAAGACATTTATTAGTCGTTTACGTCGCACTTGTTAAGACATTTATTGGTCGTTTTATATTCTCGTTATTGATATTAATTGTAAATGTCAGGTAATTCTTTCTGGAAATATTTTCAAATTAGTTTTACTGGAATTGTCTTTTGGATTCAAATCAAATGTTTGCTCAGAGTGTTCATTGTTATTCAAATGAAAATAAATTCTTCAAGCATAAATAAGCGAGAATATTGAATTGAAGGATTGTTAAAAAAAATCGTTTAATCCTTCATATTACAAAACCTTGAACGGTTAAGCTGCGAATGGTTTTATTCAATTTATGAGTGTACCGCTGCGCCCGCTCCGTTATTTTCGCGAACCGTTGTATATAAGTGGCGTAATATCAGTGAAATAATCACGGGTCATAAAACACCTGAATAATTCGAAGGTGAAACATTGTTTTAGCTTGGTGAGCGCAAAATTTGCGCGACCGGAAATAAGCTCTCCCAGCGTAAACTAAAACCAAAGTTACGTAATGGGGCGACGGGCGGGCACGGCTCGCTCTACTTTTATGACTGGAATTACTCTACTTTGGCTAATCTAAACTTTAAGGCTAATGTAACGTAATTCAGCGAAGGCGGTTTACACCCAGCCGTCTAATTACGGTCGCGCGATTCGCTTTGCGATCTTGATAAATTTACCCGTGTATGTATATTTATCGAATCGTTGCTCCACCAGCCATCTCGACGTAAGATGGAACAAAATCGCACAAATAGATCAGCCAATCAAATCTATAGAAGAGAAGAAATCAACCCTTGCAGTTTTAAATATATTTTGCATGAAATTGGAGGAATTAGACGATTAATCAATCAAAATCGTATTTCAATTAATTCAATCATACGAATAATTAATTGAGTAGATAAATAACTTCTGGGCTGCGTTCTAAAACTCTACTCTAAGTAGTGAAGTTAACTTTTCGCCATTCTAAAACGTAGAGCAACATATTATGGGCAGAGCTTACGCAAAAATTGAGGTAAGTGTGCTCGAAGTTAACTTTAATCCTGCTTCCAAAATGGATCGGAAGAGTAAATCCCAATGTAAAAACATAAATTTGTAAAAAGTATATATTACTATATATATAATTCTAACAAGCATCTGATAACTTTTAGCGACTCATTTTACAGAAAACTATGGCTCTTATCCACCAATTATCCAATAAACATCAAATATCAGTAACATAACATCGATGTTACAAAGTCAACTTAATCATATTGTATGTTATGTAACTGTTACATGTTATATATATAAGGTGGGGCAATAACTATAACTACTTTAAATATTTTTTAATTCATGTAGTCCAAAGGAAAATTTGTGTAACCAAATAGCATAGTACAAAGAGGGCTATAATATGGCGATAATAACTTTTGTCCAGGTAGAGGCACTTCAGAGATATCAAGGTCACGTTTTTATTCCTTTATATTTCTTTAAATGGAATCGATATGTTTTATTTCCATCATATGATAGAAGGACTCAAAACAAGTTTAAAATATATAACACAAAATCATTGAACAAAATTAAAAGTAAAAAAGCAATAAAAAAATATTAAGTTTTCCATATTAAGTGAATACGTTTATAAACGATGTTCGAAATGATGACCATTAATACGACATCATTATTAATACGACATTGGATTCTTCTGATCATTGATTGACTTGTTCTTCTAATAACGTCTGGAGTTATTGATGCATTGGCTGCAATAATCCGTTCTTGTATGATGTAGTTGGTTCGGTTTTGTAGACCATGTTCTTTAGGGTTCCCCATAAAAAGAAATTCAGTGGTGTCAAGTCTAGTGAACGAGGTGGCCGTAATACAGGATCCCCAAATTCAATCCAGCGATTTGCAAATATTTCTTTGAGTTTATTTCTCGCAAACAATGAAAAATGAGTCAGGCATCCATCATGCTGGTACTACATTGTTTGTCGTTTTATTAAAGGCAAGTCTTCTAACAAAAGATTCAATAAATGCTCAAGAAAATTAGCGTAGCTATTGCCATTTAAATGTCCGTCGATAATAAGGACCAATAATTTTGTCATATATAATCGCACCATTTATTCAAAGATCATTGCCTCTGATGTTTGACTTGCCGCAGCCAATGAAGATTTTCCGTTGCCCAGAAATGTATGTTATGCAAGTTAATATTTCCATGATTAATAAATATTACCTCATCAATAAATAACACAGTATAAAAAAATGAATTGTTTTGAATTTGATGTTGAACCCATTGACAAAATGTAATTCATAAAATCCATTCCATGTAATTCTTGATGAAAGCTAATATGGTACGGATGGAATTTGTGACGATGTAAAATGCGAAGTACGCTCTTCTGATTAACACCAGATTCTTCTTCAATTTGTCGTGAACTAATTTGAGAATTTCGAGTCACCATTGCGAGAATATTAATTTCATTTCCTTCATGTGTTACTTTCTTTTCACGTTCACCTTTTCGGATATACAAGCTACCAGTTTGTCTAAGTTTATCGCATAGATTTTTAAATGTTTGACGCAAAGGTTGAATGCGATCAGGATACTGTTCAACATACAAAGTTTTCGCTTGCATAGAATTTTGTTGATATTCTCTATAAATGAGGATCATATCAACTTGTTCTTCAAATGGATATATCTTGCACAATAGACTGCTCTATCGATACTAATCTAATCGATACTAATCGATACTAATTCATATTCATGTTTATGATATCCTGTGAACATATTAAAATGTTCTTCAAAGTGTTTGTTTTCTTTCCTTAAAGTACCTTCATTGAGATGGATCATTTCAATGGAAAATAAATATTTTATTGAAAGATATCTTAGCATTTCTCATCTTAGCAAGTTCTCAAGACAAACTAATAATAAAATAAAATAAAAATAAAATGAAAATCAGTCAATCGTGCACGTTGTATCCGTACTTTTTTTATCGTTTTTTTACTTTTAATCTTGTTCAACGATTTTGTGTTATATGTTGAACTTGTTTTGAATCCTTCTATCATATGATGGAAACAAAACATATCGATTCCATTTAAAAAAATGACCTTGATATCTCTGAAGTGCCTCCACTTGGACAAAAGTCATTATCGCCATATTATAGCCCTCTTTGTACTATACTATTTAGTTACACAAATTTTTCTTTGGACTACATGAATTAAAAAATATTTAATAGTTATTGCCTCACCCTGTATATTAAAGATTTGTTAACTCTAATTATTTTTCAGTAATTTTTTAAACTACTACGAAATAAACGTTATCACATTTTATGTATAGAAGCTACAGGTCTGTTCTTTTTCACTGAATGATCTAATGTAACTAATATGCTCTAATGGAACTTAAAAAAACAGGTGTTAAACAGTTGAGATTTCGTTGAAAAAAGGAAAAAACTATTGCAAGTTAGTGCAAGGAATGTATGTATGCAGCAAATAATAAAAAGTTATTCTTTCCTGTTCAAAAGCTCTTGGAGCTGGTAGCTTATACTGGTCTACTCTGTAACCTTCACTACTTTGAGTTTTATAAGGTCGATCATGTAGAGTTTTGAAACGCAGTCTTGGTAGTTCTACTACAATTTTCGCTTTCGTTGTTGATTTCAACAAGCTTAGGTAATAACTAATTTACTAGTTAGGTTAAAATAATTCATAATTTTTAACTTATTTAATTTTAAATAAATTTAAATAACTTTCAATTTTAAATAAGTTTATTTTTAATTTTAGATGTTTATTTTAAAATGTATTAAGATTATTTAATGTAAATTAAAATTAAAACTATCATCATATTAAAATCATTGCGGATTACTCAAAATATAAAATAAAAAAATTTTTTTTAAATAATACCAACAAAATTTTATTCTCTCTCAGCGTTAATATTATTTTCTTATGTGAAATCCGTGCAAAACAGCAATATTTTCTCTTAAAAACCATTATTTCACATATTAAATTTAACATATGATTTAATTTTTACAAATTAATTATAATATTAATAAAGTTATTAATAAAGTTATTATTCAAAATTTTATTCTCTCTCAGCGTTAATATTATTTTCTTATGTGAAATCCGTGCAAAACAGCAATATTTTCTCTTAAAAACCATTATTTCACATATTAAATTTAACATATGATTTAATTTTTACAAATTAATTATAAAAATCTAATTATACAAAAACGTACGTATTACTTTTCATAATAAACTATTATCTTTAATAAGTTAATTTAATGTTAACTCAACTTATAATTAAGTTAATTTTAGTATATGTAATTTTTAACTTTAATGTAATTTTAAACTTAATTAATTTTATAGACAATTAATTTTAAATTTGACTTTGTTAAAAAATAAATTAACTTATCTAATCCTACTTTTCAGTGAGGAATTGAATGTGTATAACGGGGAAATTTATATAATACATTATAAAAGTAAACAATCTATCAAAAAGATTTTGACGCAAGATGAAAGATCGGAGAATAAAAGATTGGCCAATGACTTACCTCGACGATGTAATGGAGACCCGACAGCGTTATCCTCGCAACAGAATCTTTTCTCCGTACTGGTTGTTGCCATCGTCTGAGCGTAACACCCTGCAAGCATTTTTAAAAACGTGTTGTCACCATCAACAATTTCTCATAATTTACTTAATTTTCTCGTCAAAATAATTCGAGCGAGATTGGAGAAAAATCGATCGAACAAATGTTACGTTGAGTAGAAATAAGCTTACCTGTGTTGTGTGTGTATAAGTTAATAGCCAGCTAGTGTTAAATTTTTGCTAGATTAAATTTCCTAACTTGTTACTAGAGTTTGTTACGCACTAATTATTTACTGAATTGGTTTTGTGATCTAGTTCGTATCTAGTCATATCTAGCCGTATCTATTACATGTCAAATATGATACAATAGATATGAGGGCGCTATCTACTAAAAAATATATAATCTAGGTATTATGTATCACTACTAATATTTGAAAAAAATAGGTAGCAAGTCAAAATTAAAATATTTCATAAAAATTTTAAGACTCCTGAGTATTCGGCGCGGATCTCTTGATTGATGACATCAAAAACAAAGAAAACGAGGAAACGCATGTCTACAATTTTTACATGTCATTCCTAAATAAAAACATATTTGTTGAAAGAACACTTTTGATCAATTAAACATACTTATGCTCTAAAAACTACCTTTTTCCCTTGACTTGAGTGAATAAATATTCGTAACATTAACTTGACAAATACATTTCTCTTCAACCAACCTCATAATTTTACTGTTTATTTTGCAGTTATTTATTGACTATCAACGGAAAATGATAGTTTTTAGAAATACTTTACATATATGCTCAAACAATTTGAAGAGTTCTTTCATATAAATATCTGTTTATTTGGAAACAGCAAGCAAGAATTTTCAACGCGTCATTTCTTGCTTCTGGCATCACAACCTAATATAGCTGCGGCGAGTACCCAGGAATTATAAGGAAGCAGAAGTAAGCGTTATATTATTAATTGGCAACTAGTTATGATTTTTAGTTATGATTTTCATAATTAAAATTTATTTTATCTATTCATTAACAAAGTTATTTATCTAACTATGAAGAGGGTTACACAACATTTTCCCGAAAACTAGATGGAAACATGGTGATACCAACAAAAACTCCTAGGCAACACAATTTTAATTTCTACGGATTAGTCACATTGTTGAAGTAGTTGAAGTCCATGAATTTTGCGGAGTCGTTTTGACATATGCGTATCAAATATGTTATGTCAAATAACAAATATTATATAGCATAATATAACATAATATTATATAATAGCATTGTGATATTCAATTAAAAGGAGAATAAATAAAAATTATACAAATAAGTGAAAATAAAGTGCATGACAAGAGATAGACAAAGGGAAAAAGTGATTTATATATTTATATGTAAGAGGATAAATTCAATCAAACGTAATTAAATGTAATTAGTTTTTCAGTTTTTTGACGTACCTTAATAAACATCATTTATGATTGAAACATCGTTCTTCATTGGAATCATAGTTACGTTTAATTACGTTTGATATAATAATTTTTATCCTCTTACATATAAATATATAAACCACTTTTTTACTTTGTTCATCTCTATGTACTTTGTTTTCATGCGCGTGTGTGTGTATTTATATAATTTTTATTTATTCTCCTTTCAATTAAATGTCACAATGCACTTATGTTATATAATATTTGTTATTTGACACATACACACACATATGTCAAAACGACTCCACAAAATTTATGAACTCACTACTTCAACAGTGGCACTAATCCGCAGAAATTACAATTATGTGGCCTAGAGGTGTTTGTTGGTACAACATTTTCCCATCTACCAAGTATATAAATATGAAACCGGAATTTTTGTATAGAAAATACACGTTTATTGTATGAAAATGATAAAAAATATTTTATTCAAAATATTGCCCATCGCTAGCTATACATTTTTCCCACCTGTCTGACAATTTGTGGATGCCACGCCAAAAAAAACTGTTGCTCTTTTGAGGCAAACCAGTCATCGAGCCATTTTCGTACATTTTTGTAAGAAGTGAAGCACTGTTTAGCAAGTGCGTGTCCCATCGATGCAAATAAATAGTAATCGGACGGAGCCAAGTCTGGTAAGCCGCATGCGAAAGTATTTCCCAACTAAACGCCTCAATCGTTTCCTTGACCAGTTTTGCTGTGTGTGCTGGTGCATTATCATGAAACAAAATCACTTTGTGTTGCTTTTTTTATATTCTGGTTGTTTTTCACGCAAAGTTTGATTCAAATCGATCATTTGTTGTCGGTAGCGTTCAGTATTAACGGTTTGGCCAGGTTTTAGCAGCTCATAATAGATCACACCCTTCTGATCCCACCAAACACAGAGCATTGTCTTCCGTCCATAGCGATTTGGCCTTGCAGTCGATGTCGATGGTTCGCCTGGAGTTACCCATGATCTTTTACGCTTAGGATTCTCAAAATATATCCACTTTTCATCGCCAGTCACAATTCGATGGAGAAATGACTTTCTTTTGTACCTGGCGAGCAGCATTTCGCAAGTGGTTTTTCGGTTGTCCTGCTGTCTTTCATTCAGTTCATGTGGAACCCATTTTCCCATCTTCTGGATCTTTCCCATAGCTTTCAAACGTATGGAGACGGCTTCTCGTGTCACATTTAATTG